ATTTCTCATTTAATGGAAAAATTCCCTCAGCTAAATGCCAATTCTTTTTACAACAAACCAAATTTTCTAATATATTTGACACTAATTGTGTTCTTTTTATGGTCATTATATTACCAGCTTCACTAAAAAGCCTTTCACTTAGAGTTGAAGTAGCAGGAATTACCAAGTATTTTCTTGCTAATTTTGATAATATTGGAAACTTAGTATTATTAGTTTTCCACCATAATAAAGGACAATCGTCAGGATGAATATTAGGTAAAGCCAGATAATTAGCTACTTCATCAGCACAATTAATATTATCTTGAAATATTCTTGCTAATAATGAATTTGATGAAACTGCTCTAAATTCAACTTCTTGATCTTTATTAATTAAGTTTCTCATATTTGATATATATTTTTTAACTGTTCATAAATTCTAATGCGCAATGATTTAGAAGCAAACTTTAAATCCTTGAATCTTGAATCTAGTAAAGCAGCCAATGTTCCTTCTTCTTGTGAAACTTCCTAATAATGATTCATTGATTTATATAATACCATTTTAATAGAATTTGTAAGGTTGTTACAGTCTTGTGAAATATTAATATTAATTTTTCTGCGTTTAGGTCATTCAGTAATTGGTTTATCTTCTAATATATCTTCATAACTAACATCATCATCAAAGACTGTATTCAGACTTGTTAAATCTATAATCTTAACATCAGAATTATCATCTGGTATTAATTTTTGATTAATTACTGCTAATATACTGTACATTAAACTAATAGTTATATATTTTTTTCCACCTAAAATTTCAGTTGCTCCAGCAAAATCTTTCAAAATTATAATCAATTTACTTATTTCTTACCATTCAGCTTCTGTTAAATTTATATTTTTTAGTCGTTTACTATCTCGTTGTGTTGAAGAATCAGGATTAATCATCATAGTTGATATCAAAATATTAATGAGATCCTTAATTTTTATTAAGCGTTTTCATGCAAGATAACTGGAGTTCCATCTTATTTTAACATCAGCAATCATCTAAAGATATTCATAATTATTTTCTAAATTCTAAAATAAATAAAAATAAACA